AGTGGGATGGATTGGTGGACATGGGCTCCAGCCCCATGCTGGGATGCACTATGGGGTCTCATTGGGGTGGTGTGGGGGGCACGGGGGCTCCAGCCCTACATGAGGGTGCATGGGGTGCACAGCTCTGCTGCAATATGGGGCTTCAGTGGGATGGTTTGGGGGCACAGGGGCTCCAGTCCTATGTTGGAGTGTGCTATGGGGTCTCATTGGGGTGGTATGGGAGGGCAGGGGCTCCAGTCCTATATGAGGATGTGTGGGGTGCACAGTTCTGCTGCTCTATGGGGCCTCAATGGGATGTTTGGGGGCACAGGGACTCCAGCCCTATGCTGAGATGCGGGATCTCATTGGGGTGGTTTGGGGGCATGGGGGCTCCAGTCCTATAGGAAAGCCTGTGAGGTGCTGCTCTATGGGATCTCAGTGGGATGGATTGGTGGACATGGGCTCCAGCCCCATGCTGGGATGCACTATGGGGTCTCATTGGGGTGGTCTGAGGGACATGGGGGCTCCAATCCTATATAAGGGTGTATGGGGAGCACAGCTCTGCTGCTCTATGGGTCTTTAATGGGATGGTTTGGGGGCACAGGGGCTCCAGTCCTATGTTGGAGTGTGCTATGGGGTCTCATTGGGGTGGTCTGGGGGCACAGGGGCTCCAGTCCTATAGGAAGGCCTGTGGGGTGCTGCTCTATGGGGTCTCACTCGGGTGGTCTGGGGGCCAGAGACTCCATCCTGATGTAGGTGTATGGGGTGCACAGCTCTGCTGCACTATGGGTCCTATTGGGGTGGTTGTGGGGTGGGTGTCCTGCCCCATGTCGGGGTGCACTATGGGACCTCACAGGGATGGTTCAGGGGTCTCCAGAGCCGCCCCCAGCCCCTCTCCCAGCCGACCCCACCAGCTGGCCCCACTAATCCCTCTTAGCGCCTCCATCTGTCCGTACACTTTGGGTTTAACCCCCCGTCTCCCCCACCCCACACCCTCAGGGGTCCCGTTGCCCCCCAGCCCCACCCCCGCTCCCCAGCAATGCCTGGGGTCCCCATGGGGGTTTAAAGTGGGGGGTGGCGGTCACCCCATGCTCACGGCCCCACTAATTCAAACACTGACTCCAAAGGAACCCGGGGCGATCAGTGGGATTATCCCAACCAGACTGCGCCGGGGGGCCCTTCTGCTTCCGACACCCATCCATTAATTAACACCACTAATGGGCTTTGGTGCTGAACGGCAGAGGTTGGGATGAGGGGACCTCCGTAGGGACCCCGATGTCGTCCCCGTGGCCACGAGGTCCCCCTTTGGAGAGCTGCCAGCCGCTCTGGATGCTGCTTGTTTGCTAATCAGCAGCGAGCAAACAAAGCTCTGATTGAGCCTAATGGGCCCTTTAATCAGCCAGCCGGGTGCTGACACCAGATTACAGTGTTTATAATTTACGGCTAATCTGCCGGGCGAGGGGAAAAGCGGAAAAAAAAAAAAAGAGGAGGAGGAGGAGGAGGGATGGAGGGATGGAGGCTGCGCTCACCATTGACGGCCGTGCGCCGGGTGATCTCCCACAGCACCAAGCCGTACGCCCAGATGTCTGTTTTCTTGTAGGATTCGAAGCAGTCGGTGCGGATCTGCTCGCTCAGCACCTCCGGGGCCATGTAGCGCTTCGTGCCCACGCGGGGGTTGTGGCCCATGTCCAGGTAGTCGCTGCCCTGAGAGTGCATGACGGCCAGACCTGGGGGTGGAGGGATGGGGGGGTGGGTGGAGGGATGGAGGGATATGGGGTTGGGTGGATATGGGGTTGGGTGGAGGGTTGGATGGTTGGAGGGACAGAGGGCTGGATGGAGGGGTAGTTGGAGGGATGGAGGGTTGGTCGGATGGATGGATGAAGGGATGGATGGACTGATGGATGGAGGGATGGAGAGATATAGGGTTGGATGGAGGGTTAGAGGGCTGGAGGGATGGATGGAGGGGTAGTTGGAGGCATGGAGGATTGGTGGGATGGAGGGGTGGATGGAGGGCTGGAGGGTTGGTTGGATGGATGGATGGAGGGATGGAGAGACATGGGGTTGGATGGAGGGATGGATGGAGGGATATGGGGTTGGGTGGAGGGTTGGATGGTTGGAGGGACAGAGGGCCGGATGGAGGGATAGTTGGAGGGATGGAGGGATGGATGGACTGATGGATGGAGGGATGGAGAGATATGGGGTTGGATGGAGGGTTGGATGGTTGGAGGGATGGAGAGCTGGATGAAGGGGAAAATGGGGAGATGGAGGGTTGGATGGAGGGGTGGATGGGTGGATGGATGGATGGAGGGGATGGATGGATATGGGGTTGGGTGGAAGGTTGGATGGTTGGAGGGACAGAGGGCTGGATGGAGGGGTAGTTGGAGGGATGGAGGATTGGATGGAGGGCTGGATTGAGAGGTGTGAGGTTGGATGGGTGAATGTAGGGTTGTATGGATGGAGGGATAGAGGGTGGATGGAGGGATGGAGGGATGGAAAGTTGGATGGAGGGATGTGAGTTTGGATGAATGTAGAGTTGTATGGATGGATGTGGGGATGGATGGATGAATGTAGGGTTGGATGGATGGAGGGATGGAGGGTTGGTTGGAGGGATGGAGGGATGGAAGGATGGAGGGCTGGAGGATTGGAGGGAGGGTTGGTTGATGAATGTAGAGTTGGTTGTAGGGTTGATGGAGGGTTAGTTGGATGGGTGTAGGATTGGCTGTAGGGGTGGGTGGATGGAGGGATGTGGGGTTGGGTGGATGCAGTGTTGGATGCAGGCTTGGGTGCATGGATGGATGAGGGTTGGATGCAAGGTTGGACGGATGTAGTGTTGAAGTAGGGTTGGATGGGTGGAGAGTTGGATGGGTGAATGGACAGAGGGATGGATGAACGTATGGATGGATGGACATAGGGATGGGTGGAGGGTTGGATGGAGGAGTGGATGAACGTAGGGATGTCTGGATGGATGCACGGGCAGATGGTTGGCACCACGCGTCCCCATGGGGCGCACTCTCACCCAGATCGGCGATGCAGCACTGCCGGTTGCTTTTCACCAGGATGTTCCTGCTCTTCAGGTCACGGTGAGCAATAGCAGGTTTGCCCTGCGTGCCAAAGATCTCCACGTGGAGGTGGACGAGGCCGCAGATGATGGAGGCTGCCAACCCCAGGCAGGTCTCCACGTCCAGGGTTGTCCTCTGCAGGTAGTCGTAGAGCGAGCCGTTCTCGTGGTAGTGGGTGATGAGCCACAGCTGGGTGCTGGAGTTCCTCGAGGTCATATCGGAGGCGATGAAGCCTGGATGGGGAGAGCAGTGGGGTGATGGATCCACCATAACGCCAGCCCATCCCCCAGTCCTCCCACTCACCCAGGATGTTGTCATGCCGCAGCAGCACGGTGTTGTAGATCTCGGTCTCACGGAACCACGACTGCTCATCCCGGGAGGAGAAGATCTTGACGGCCACGTTCTCCCCGTGCCACACACCTCGCCACACCTCACCATAACGCCCTTTGCCTGCCACGACCACGGCGCTGCATCACATGGACCCCTCCAGACCCCAACCCTGACCCCATCCCAGCACTACAGAATCACAGAACTGTAGGGATCGTCTGGTCCAACCCCACGTCAGTTCCAACCATCAGTCGGGTCGCACTGTGGGGCGATGGAGGACCCTTTGTTCTTGTGCTGGGACAACCTTGGCCAACACAACCACCACCCAAGCGCTCTCTCCCAGTGGGACAGGGGAGAACTCAGTGTCTTTATGGGGTTTTGGCAAACGGGGTTGGATCTCTGCTCTCCTCACCCACGCACTCCACGAGGGAGATCTGCCGGGCCACCGTGCGCTGGACAAGGAAGGGCAGCCCTGACCCACTGCCCGTGGTGCAGTCATCATTCAGCAAATCCTACAGGACCGGGACAGCAGCGGTGTGAGATGGGTGGTCACCCCACACCCCTGGGACCCCAGGAGCTGCCCCACCTCCAGCGTGCTGTCTCCCACCATGGATGCCTTCAGCATCAGGTCCGTGTCCCCCAGGTCGCTGTGCTTGAAGAGGAGCAGCCTCTTGCGGCGGTGCTGGGCCAGCTTCCAGAGGAAGAGGATGGTGAGCGCCATGAGGACGAGGAGGGTCAGCAGCGGGATGAAGATCAGCAGGAGGAGGTTGGAGAGGGAAGGAGACTGTCCCGTGGCATTTTCTCCTGGTGGGGAGGAATGGTGGGTGGGAGGATGAGGGTGGGGTTGGTCCTAGGGAGGACTTGATGCTCGGGGTTGGACGTGGAGAGGGTGGAGGTCTTGGTGCCTTGGTGCTTGGGCTTGGAAACGGGAATGGTGGAGTTTTTGGTGCTTGGGGACGGATATGGAAAGGGTGAAAGAAGGCCAAGGTCCTGGTTCTTGGGGTTTGGAATGGGAGGATGGAGGTCTTGGTGCTTCACAACTGACATGGGGAAGGCACTGGGGTCACCCATGGATGGCAGCTCTGCAGACACAACCCAAGGAGAGGCACCAGGAGGGGGCACCCATCCCACACGGGAAAAAGTGACCCTAGAAATACCGAGCCAGGAGGGGGATGACCTAGAGACCCCATCCCCACATCCCCCGTGCTCCTCAGAGGGGTCAGCCCAGAGCCCCGTACCTTTCAGGGAGACCTCCAGCTCGATGTTGCACATGCTGGTGTTGCAGCACCGGGTGCCAAAGTGCTCCGTCACGTAGGACTGGCAATTCTCCAGCAGGTGGTCCGAGAAGCAGCCTTTGTGCTGGGTGATCCTCCCTGCCTCCCTCCTCTTGCTGGCAAAGCACACCTTGCCGGTGCAGGTGGGCACGGGACAGTGTGGCACGTCGCACGCGCATTGCAGCTCATCTGCAGGCACGAGGAAATCACGTTTGTCAAAGGGTTGGGGACGACATCCATCCAATGCTGGGATGCTGTTGGCTTTGGGGTCAATGCTGTCCGTGCCAAAGAGCATCAGATCAACTTGGGACAGGCAGTAAAGGTTGGAGAGGACCGCAGGGTTGGGGATATTGTCCATTCAGCATTGGGGTGCTGTTGGCTTTGGGGTCTATGTTATCCATGCCTCGGACCGACTTGGGGCCATCAGGAGACACTGGAGGGGATCGCAGTGTCGGGGAGATCATCCACCCATCCAGCACCGGGATGCTGTTGGCTTTGGGGTCAGTGATATCCCTGCCAAAGAGCCTTGGACCAACCAGGGACCGTGCCTCCGTCGCATGGAATGCAACGAGTTGGATGAAGCCATCTGGCAGCGCACAGCTGGGGCCGCATCCTGCCCACGGGGAAAGTCAGACCCGGACCCTGGGATGTTGTTTTTGGGCTCATCCCTTTGCTGCACTCCCTCCTCCCAAATTAGCTCTGTTTTTTGGCACAGAACAAATCCCTCCTGGAAGCAGCGAGTTCAGCATGAGGGCGGCCAGACGGACAGCAGCAGGGGACAGACGGACGCCCACAGCCCCACTATGGCCCCATAGTGGTTCTCATCGAGCCAAGCTTGGGGAGGGGAGGGCGATCCCAGCCTGGATCCCTGGGATTGAGGATCAGCTCCGTTTCCGAGCAGAGCGAGCGGTTGGGTTCCCCAATGGCTGCGGCTCTGCTCCCATTTTTGGCTACTCACCTGCGGCGAGGCCGAGAGAGAGGCTCAGCAGCACCAGCACGGCCCCAGCGTGGGCTCTGGGGGGCATTTTCCTGCAGGAATAAAAGGGGATGGTGGGCACAGAGCGGGGAGGAGGCAGTGGGGCATCCCTCGGGCACAGCCGTGAGTTGGGTTTGGGACGGGAGCGGCGGTTCCCGCAGGGAGGGATGTGCTGCCCAGCAGCGGAATCCAGCTCTGGGTGTCCCAGCTGTGGCTCTTCCTGGGAACAGGGTGAGGGTCCACGCATCGCTGCACCCACACAACACAAACACCCATGGGACCCCCCACACCCCACAGCTCCGCTGCCGCCCCCCAGAGCCGTTCCCACCGCTGCCTCCGCGCAAACTTTTGCTTTTCCATTCCTTTCCATTTTTTCTCCCTTTCTGACGCATTGTTTCGGGTTTCCCCCCACCCCCCCACCCCACAGACCCCACTGCAGTCCCAAACAGAGATCTTTTCTCACGGCCCATCCACGGCCCCCCCCCCCCCCCCCTCGCACCCCACGCCGCTCCCTCCGCCGTCTCCCCACTGTTCCCAATATATAAACACGGCCAAAGCGCCGTTTCCTGCAATTGAAGGAGCCCTGCCCGTGGGGCCGGGACAGGAATCAAGATTGTTTAGATTCTGCCCTTGATGGGGAGAGGCGGTCACGCAAAGCCCCGCTGCAGAAGGGCTTTTCCTCCCCAAAATAGATCGCTTTGTCGGCGCTGGCGGAGAGGAAGCGGCGAGCGGAGCTCAGTGCGTCCCACTGCGCCCTGCAGGAGCTGCTCTGGGAGCGCAGAGCCGGGGGTAACGACGGAGCCGTTGCACCAACGGAGACTGCTGCAAACGCAGCTCGGTCGCCTCGATAGGTGTGCGAGGTTTGCACGCTTCTTGCACGCCTCCAGTTGCTCGTATGGCGCACAGCCCTCCTTGCGCCCCTCTCCTTGCATCTCATGCAGATATCTTCTTGACCGCCTCCAGTTGCACACTTCTCACATTCCTCCCCTTGCACAGACCTCTCCTTGCACACCCCTGGTTGCACACACCTCCTTACACGCCGCTCCTTGCTCACACCTCCTTGCACGCATCTCCCTGCGTGCCTCTCCATGCACAGCTCTCCCTGCGCCCACCTCTTGCACACCTCCCCACGCACACCCATCCTTGCACGCAGCAGCACAGCAGCGCTGCACACTCCAGGCTCCGCTCTGCTCGTGCCCTCAGCCCCAGTTTGCACTCTCCCTCGCTGCACCTCATCCCAGTTGGAAACAGACCCAGAACCACAAATCCGCACTCACCCGCACTCAAATCCATCTCCTGCCCCCCCACACGAACCCCATTGTCATGGGATGCAGCAGGAACGGGGCCAGCTCCTGATTCTGCTGAAAACCCATTGGGAAAAGCAGCTGAAACCCCCCCCAGACCCCCTCACAGCCCCCAGATCTGGAGCTGCTTTGGGTACCCCCTGGTGCTAAATGCAACGGAAGCTCTACGGGAAGAAAATGGGGGTGGAGGGGGGGCTGGGGGCTGTAGGATGGCACCCAGTGACCCGCAGCATCCCAAAGGACACCCCAAACTCCCCGGCACACACCTACAGGGACGTAGGGTGGACTGTGAGACCGCACCCAGTGGCCCCATAGACCCACATAGGGCCACAGACCCATTCCCACGGCCGCCCCAAACCCCCCAGCAGGGGGAATACAGGGCAGGTTGGGGGGCTGTAGGATGGCACCCAGCGACCCCATAGACCCACCAAATCCCCCAGCACTCACCTACAACATCTGGGGACGATTCCCAGCTCCGGATGCTGCATCCCAACGCCGCGCTCAGCCGGGGATGCCGGCAGCGTTACCCCACACCCCACAGATCCTCATAGGGTCACCTCTGTGCCCCCCACAAGGCTCAGCCCCGTCCCGGCCCCACTGCGAGCTCTCTGCGTTCGGGATGTGGGAGAAGTCACCAAAAACTGTTCCTCCTCACTGCCTCTTCCTGCCTGGCTCTGCTCCACCGCTCTCGGCTCATAAAGCATTTCCTATTGCTGAGCACACGGCCCTGCGCTGCCTCCCTTCCTCCCGCGCATCGGCCCCATCCTGCTCTGTGCCCTCGTGCCATTCCGGCCCTTTTCCAGCCCTTTCCCTGTGTTATCCCAAATTTCCCGGCGGGATGGAGGTGTGGGGGGGCTCTGAGGGGCGTGCAGAGCATCCGTGGGGTCCTGCGCCCACCTCAAGCGCATCTTTGGGGTCACGGGGGGTGAGGGATGCTGCTGTCCCATTGCATCGCCATCTGTCCCGTATGGGGTTGGGGATGTGATGGGGGAGGGAAGGCGTTTCCCATCACCTGCTGCCATCACCTGAGCCCGGTGTGATGGGGATGCAGGGAGGGTGCAAACTGTGGTCACATAAGTGATGCTGAGCCCCAGCCTGGGGACAAAGGGACCCCAACGTCCCACTGGGATGCGGTCCTGTAAGGGATGCTGTGCCCCAGACCCAGGACAAAGGGACCTACGGACACATCCCGCTGTCCCCCTGTGTCACCATCCCCAGTGGCACTGGGATGCAGCCCCATAATGGACACATCCCCCGTGTGCCCCCATCCCTTACAGCACTGGGACGTGGCCCTATAGGGGATGCCGTGCTGCAGCCCCAGGACAAAGGGACCCACAGGCACAGCCCCCACATGCCACTGCTCCCCACGTGCCCCCATCCCTTACGGCACTGGGATGCGGCCCTACAAGGCTCACTGCGCTTTGGGCCCAGGACAAAGGGACCCCATGTGCCCCCACCCCTGCCTGTGTGCACCCCTGGGACTCACCCATCGCGGCCGTTCCCACAGTGCAGGCAGAGGAAGCGCTCCTTCCCCTTTTGCTGCCCCCAGGGTTGCAGTTTCGATCACCCCAGATGGGGTCACACCCCCCCCCCCGTGCCCTCCCCATATCACAGCCTCACTTTGCTCCTTCCAGACCCCCCTGCACCCTCTCCCCTAAGCAAAAGCAGAGCCTGAGCCCCGTTCCCCATAACACCACAAACCCAAACCGCACCGTGAGCCCCAAATAACCACAGCACGACCCCAACCCACAGCACGACCCCTCCCAGAGCCCCCCCCCCCCACAATTCCCCCCCCCCCAGGCAGCACAGCTCCGCCGCAGCGCTTTGAGGTCCCTCTGCTATCTCACAGATCTCCCAAAAGAGGAAGTTTTGTTGTTTGACGGCGACACAAAGCCGCCACCACCAAACCCACAGCAACCACAGGGGGGGTCCCAGCAGAACCTCCCCGCCCGTGGGTCACCATGGGGTGGGCGATGGGAGTTTGGCACCAGAGCAGCAGCATCCCTGGGAGTGGGGGAGCGAAAATGCGCCCAAGGAGCAGAACCTGGATCAGCCCCACTGACCCCAGAGGGAAAAGGGCGAAGACCCCGCTGCCCCTCTTTGCATTTTTGGGTTTGGTTTGCAGCTCTGAGCTCGGCGCCCCACATCCATGCTCCCGGTGCATCACAGCTGGGGAGCACAGCCAGCAAAAAGCAGCTGCATGGCATGCGTGGGTCCCCAGGGGGAGGGAGGGTGCAGAAGAAGGGTCCTGGGGTCGCTCTTCCCTGAGCTGTTGGGTTGTCCCATATGGGAGATGCCCCCTGCAGCCCCGGGGTTCAGTTGTTGAATCGATGCTGTTAACGTGGCGAACTCTTCTGCTTTAATAACAGTCAGATTCCATCAGATCTGTGAGACCAAAGAGGCAAAAAAAAAGCCCCCAAACCCCCCAAAATCCCAACCCAGAACACAGCCCCTCCATCAGGATCCCACCCACCACCAGCAGATCCGAAGCGACAGCACGAGGGCGGGGGGCCACCCCAAAACCTCCAGCAGAAGAGCAGTCCGCACGGTGACCCCCCCCCCCACCTCAGCGCCCCTTTTTCCCCTTTTTCCTCTTCTTTTCCCCCTCTGCCTCCTCGGCCGCTCGCTTCTCCTCCTTCAGCTCCTTGTACCTCCATTTGGGGGGCTGTAACAGCGCCTTGTCGCGGCCACGGGGTCTCCTCTCCCTCCCGCACGCCGGTGGTGAGCTGGCTTTGCTCAGCTTGATCCTGGGCACTCGATCCCCAGGGAAGATGCAGTTGGCACGGAGCAGCCGGGGGAGGAAGCCCAGGAGGCGGTGACGGCGCGGTGCCATCTCCAGCACTGCTTGGTCCAACGCAACTTGGCCATTGCCAACTTGTTGGCCGTGCCCCTCCAGTTGGCCGTGCCCCTCCAGTTGGTTGTGCCCCACCAGTTTGCCATGCCCATCCAGTTTGCCATGCCCATCCAGTTGGCCATGCCCATCCAGTTGGCCATGCCCTTCCAGTTGGCCATGCCCCTCCAGTTGGCCATTACACGATGCCATCCCAGTGCCCGGCTCCTGGAGGATCTCCGCCACCGAAAGCCTCCGCTTGCCCACTTCGGGTGGGCTATCAGGGCAGATGGTTTGGCAAGCGGTGCTCACAAAGGGGCTGGCGAGGGAGGTGGTCATCCTCACCATGTGGTCCAACACGCCGTCCTCCTCCGGGTCGCGGGGGATGCGGAAGGTGAAGAGGGAGCGGATTTTCTCTGCTAGCCGTTGGCTGCGGGATTTGGGGCTCAGGGCTTTGGCCACCAGCCCGGCCAGTGCCGGCCACTCGGGGAGGTAACGGGTGCCAAACTGCTCGGCCCGTGGGCGCCGGAGGAGGGTCCGGATACGGACGGTGGTCTCGAAGCGGCCGGTGAAGGCGGCCCACTCCCTGGCTGTCTTCCCTTTGATGGGGTCAACGGCGTGCAGGTCGGCTCCTGGGGGCAGGAGGATGAGAGAAGGGTCACCAAAGTGAAACTGCAGCATCAGCACGAGGATCCCAGCCACCCCTCAGACCGCCATGGAGCTCATGGGATGGTTGGGTCAGAAGGGTCCTTAAGGATCATGGAACCACGGGGTGGTTGGGTAGGAAGGGACCTTAAAGACCTCAAGGCCATGGGATGGTTGGGTTGGAAAGGTCCTTAAAGATCATAGAACTACAAGATGGTTGGGTTGGAAAGGTCCTTAAAGGTCATGGAACCATGGGATGGTTGGGTTGGAAAGGTCCTCAAAGATCACAGAACCATGGGATGGTTGGGTTGGAAAGGTCTTTAAAGGTCATGGAACCATGGAATCATAGAGTGGGTTGGGTTGGAAGGGTCCTTAAAGATCATAGAACTATGGGATGGTTGGGTTGGAAAGGTCCTTAAAGATCATAGAACCACGGGATGGTTGGGTTGGAAAAGTTGGGTTGGGAAGGTCCTTAAAGATCACAGAACCATGGGATGGTTGGGTTGGAAAGGTCCTTAAAGGTCACAGAACCATGGGATGGTTGGGTTGGAAAGGTCCTTAAAGCTCAAAGAACCATGGGATGGTTGGGTTGGAAAGGTCCTTAAAGATCATAGAACCACGGGATGGTTGGGTTGGAAAAGTTGGGTTGGGAAGGTCCTTAAAGATCACAGAACCACGGGATGGTTGGGTTGGAAAGGTCCTTAGGATCACGGAACCACAGAACGGGTTGGGTTCAGGTGTCCTTAAGCCCCGCCCCCCCACATCAATGTGCCCAGGTCCCCCTCCCCAGCCCTGAGCACCCCGGGGTGGGGCACCCACACCTCAGAGTTGTTCCCGTGGGTCTCACCTGCCAGCAGCAGCGCGGTCACGCAGTCGTGCTGGCCCTGCACCGCCGCCTTCATCAGCGCCGTCAGCCCGCGGGCATCGCGCCGCTCCACGTCCAGCGCCGGGAAGTAATTCAGGAGGTAATTAACGATGGTGATGTGCCCTTAGCAGCAGAGAAAACACCTTTTTTTTTTGTGCTTAATGAGGGATCCTTCTTGACCCCCGTGTTGTTTTCCTACCATCCCAGCCCACCCGGGGGCTGTGCTGCCCACCTGCCTGCGCGGCCATCATCAGCGCCGTGTTGCCCTCCGTGTCCTGCTGGTTGACATCCACGTAGGGGCAGTGCCGGAGGAGGGGCACGATGTCCACGAAGCCCCGGCAGCAGGCGACCATCAGCCCGTTCTGTTTGGGGCCAGCGCTCCGTTCGGGACCTCCACCCCACACCCCGAACCCCAAAGTGGGGAGGTTGTGCCCCACGGATCCGTGCAGCCCCACTGAATGGTGCCAGGGGGATCCCGACCCCACGGGGCTTTGCCATCCCATCCCTGCCAATCCAGCATCCTTTGGGATCGGCCCGTTCCCAGCAGGTGTCCCCATTCCCAGAGCAGGGGAGGAAGGGGAAGTTCTGCCCCACTGATCCCTGCAACCCTACTGCATGGTGACCGGGAGACCCCGACCCCCCATCGCTCTGCCATCCCATCCCTCCTACCCCCAAATTCTGCCCCATGGAGCCACGCAAACCCTGGAGACCCCAACTCCCCATGGCTGCCATCCCATCCCTCCTG